CCCCAAAACCCCAAAACCCCAAAACCCCTCCGTAACTAAATATAATTGATTCTTAAGATAAATTATAGGAAGGAAGGATCATAGAAAGTGCGGAGACACCTCATAAGAATAAAGAAGGATATAATAACTGTATGATTCTTGTCACACAGTCGTTTTTTGAAGTCTATAGCTCCTGTATACAACCCTTTATACTATCAGAGCCAAAAACCATCTCCAAAGTACATTTCTATATATAAACGGCTCTAAAATTTCCACAGATCGTCCATACCTCCCTTCCCACCCAAGGCCTACTAAAAATCTAGCGGCGTACAACATCGAATGAAAAGATCCTTATCATAGCATCATTTTCCTTCTATTTCTTCTTTTACTCACCCATGCTTTGGTAAGACTCTTCTAGAAGGATGTCAAGGTGGGACTTACTTGATTGAGCAATGGATTCAGTGACAGTGCTGGGCTAATAGAAAGGAATGATAGGGTATTAAAGGAGTCAGATGTAGTAAGAAATGTGCAGAAGAGTAATTCACCTTTATTTAAAATACCAGTCACTATTTTACCTTGTGAATATTTTTGATAAACTAATTCATGAAGCTATTCTCACTGTCCACATCACTAAAAAATTAAAAGGCAAATACAGAAATTTATGTTCCTCTGCTGAAGCTTTTAGATCAGGTGGCATTCGACTGCTACTCGGAGAGAAAGGTACTACATCACTGTCCTTCTTAGTAATCTTGGTTAGAGGAGGCTTGTACTGCTGAGAACTTTTCATCTTCGAAGGCCCCGAGCGTTTCTTATTAGACCGAGAGCTGAAACCTATTGACGACTCTGAGTTCAAACTTTGGTTCAGCGTTCTGTCAATGTCACCCTTGGTCTTATAAAGTTATTAAATTAGTTTACTTCTTAGCTTGTGAAGAGTATTGATCTATAGATTTAGGCAACACTTGTCAGCAAGTGAATAATGCTACATTTCTGACAGTCTCAGGCAACTTTTGGCTTTTTAGATTTGGATCACTGAAGTCGATCTCTTGAGCAATGTTATCTCCAATTTGGAAGATATCTGAAGTCGAACCTATAAAAATTGTCTCAGTCAAAGTAGTAAAAACAAAGAAAACTGATATTGAATAAGAAGATTATAGATTATTAATGTGAAATTTAGATAGTTCTCCAATACATAAACCATATTTCCAGAAATTTCACCTAGATTTTAAAAGAGGCTTATATCAAATTGCTTTTAAACTAAATTAACAAAACTCAAGAATTAATAACGAGCAAAATACATCATTTGCACTACCATTTCCAGCTTTATTTAATATTTCAAGTTCCTTCTGATATTTTTGGTCAATATTTGTGGGTAATTTAGAAGCTTGGACTTATATCATGATTAGTTGATATCCCCATAAAAAACTCACCTGCTCAGCTATCTTTGCAATGGTTTTACGAACGCCTTTCAATTTAGCTAAGGATTTCAGAATTGGAAGAATCCCAGCTAGCTCATTGTCCTTCTTATTGTTTCCATACCAGCTCTTTATAGGGACAGTATTTTCAATATTGTATAGATATGAAGGGGTTTTGGGGTTTTGGGGTTTTGGGG